AAAAAAAAAAAAAAAAAAAAAACAAAAAAAACCCTAAGGGATTGCAGTGTGACTGTCCTGGATCCCTAGGGGGTGACTTCTCACTTTCTCCCTCAGTTTGTCTGTCTGTCTCTCTCTGGCACGTGCCCTATGGCAAAAACAAAAAGACACCCAACTTAAAAAAATGTACTAAGTGGCTCTCTCTGAAGACATTAGCATGTTGAGCAAAGTTTACCGACTTCCTTATGCAATGGTCAGTCCACCCAATCCCATTTCCTGAGGCTAAACTATATTTCAGCAATGTATTTGGTATAGCTCTCTTAAGCACAAAACTTACCTTTTTTTGGATCTTATACCGCTTATGGCAGGTCATGCGTTTACTTGCTTTCTTTAATTCTACAAAGAAACACATTGCAAATGGACTATACACAAATGATTGGGTTGTTTAGTTTTTGGTGAGTGCACTATGGTCACGTCCTTTGCTGTGTTAAGTCATCAGCTGTCAAATCTAACATTCTGGACCCTGTGGACTCTTAATGAAACACATGCCGCTCAACCCCGGAGAATTCAATACATCTGGAATGGAGTCCAAGTCCCCTGCACTTATGCTTCCCGTAAGAACGGGAGCATTACACAGGGACCTTTGAGAACCAAGAAAACAGCCACTTCGTGCCAAGCACCACAAACGCTAAGGCCTCATCAGAGGGGATCTCGGAAGCCGCTCGCCGCTCTCACCAGGGCGGGTTTGCACGAGACTAGGGAAAATGGCCCGACCCCTGTCTGGTCTAACCTCCATTTTCGGGGCCAGGCCTTTCTTCCGCACAATGGGCCCAGAGCTAAAAGGCTAGATTAAGGGCCTTCCGATCCTCGGTTCTACGAGGTTAGAGGGCCCCGGCCTACCCCCGGGCTTCCTCAACCGCGGCAGAGCTCTAGACGCAGAGGAGCGAATCGGTGAGCTCAGCAGCTGCAAGAGACAAGGGCCCCTCCACGCCCGCCTCACGACCCCACTCACTCGGCCGCTTCATGGCGGTTGTGGAACTTGTCCAGAGAGCAGAGACAGGAGAAACAACGTGCCTCGGCGCGCGCCACGTGTGAACTGAGAATGCGGACGAACGTCACGCACTGACGCAGCCACCGTAAAGCGCACCGCCGGCCCTCCGCGTGCGCGCGCACGCAGTGTCGCGCTGAACGGGTTCGCTTGGCGGCCGCGGGGCTGGTTTTGCGGCGGCACCGGGAGGGGTGAGGGCGGTGAGGGCAGTGAGGGCGGCGGGTGCCGGAGCGACGGCAGAGGCCGCGGCCGGAGGAGCGATAGCAGCGGCCGCGGGGGCACCGGGGCGGGGAGCGGGGGGG